TAACTTTCTTCAGAAAGAAGCTTTTGCAATTATTGTCCCCCTTGGATAAACTAGAAGGTGAGAGCTTTCTAACAAATACTCAAACTCTTTTTAATACTGATGGAGTCAAAAAATCGCCCCGTTGGACCGTTTTGGGGAAATCGCGGACCGATTTTTGGCAGAGCGCTGGTTTTTTGGCTTTGAACTGTCATAACTTTCTTCAGATTCAACTTTTTGCAGTTCTTGTCCCCTGGAAGAAACTAGAAGGTTAGAGCTTTCTAATGAATGCTTGAGCTAAACTTGAAACCTGAACTTGAAAATTTTCGGTGCTACTCTCCTGAAAACACGAGTTTTCAACATCAACACTCAAACACTTACAGCTCTCTTCAAACTCAATTTTATGGGGAGTAATGATACCACAAGATCGCACAACCTTTGTGCTTCATAACAGATACTAAACTCTTTCTAGGAACTCGTCGACAGGCAAATTTTTTTCTCCAAACTTTTATTGTAAGCCTTTAGCAGTCAATCCACCCAAGTGGTCACCCTTTTACTAACATAGGTTCAGTTTGTTTTCTCAGAAGCATATTTGTGTACGTGAACAGTCACATATGGACACTACTGCAGTGGACTCTTCTGCTCTGAGGTGCGCCATGCACTCGTTTGTGGTTAGTAGTTGGAGAAGCGCTCGAAAGTTATGCCTCTCACCTACGTATTGCGACGTTGACCTTGCAAATACGACCCCCCCTTTCGGTCGGCCGAATACGACCCCTCGTTGGACTTTGTCCAACGGACGGTTTACCCTGACCCTAACAATGCACCTCCCTTCCGGCTGACTTCAGCATTGATGCGACTCTCATCGGTGCGGTCCTCCTCAACGTCAAATGCACATCGTTTCGCACCCTTATGATAGGGGGCCCGCCTGCCTTTCGACTCGGTATATGCCCCTTCCTCGACCTGTGACCTTGTCTTAGAATCTGCCAATCCTTTAGTGACCAGGTGGTCCTGCGCTTTTTTTGAAGGAGTACTCTAAAGAAGAAGGGAAAGTAGCTAGTAGAAGGGAGACGGACTCTCTAAAGGTGCGGGACGTTGCGAGTTTCACAGAGAAGGTCACGACCCCAGCGGCCTAGTAGGTTCAGCTCACGCTGCTGCCCGCCCACCCTATCGCTGTCTGACTCCAGCCGCTCTGCAGAGAGATAGCATGAGCATTGATGAAGTCAGCACCAATGAGGCACGCTTAACGCGCAATCGGATGAAAAAGAGGCCCAATTTCTCGAGTTCTAGGCCGTTTTCTGTTTTTCTTCATCGCTACATCACTGACCATCTCTTTCTCAATTTCTAGTGAGTCGGGACTTTGTCTCAAACCAACCATTTCTATGTACTGTTATCAATTGTACTGCAGTGTCTGTGGAGCGATGGTCGAGAGAGCTTGTAGTTTGAGAAAGTACGCGATCTCTCATCAAAAATGCATACGGATATCACCACTTCTCGCGGTGGATGGGAACCGTTGGAACTTGGGTCGATGGTTGCGGGCCCGTAAGGACTAGCGACCGCGCAGTTTTTGCGATGAAGCTGGAGTGATCCAGTTATGTATGGACCTCACAATTCACCTCCGTGGAATCCTCCTACTATCGGGCTAAGGCTGCTTTCATAGTTCGCATCGGTGCGGTCGGTGCCGACGGCGCCGACGGCGCCGACCGCACCGACAGTGTGAAGAGCGTCAATACGCACTCTGGCGCATGACGCGAACGTTGGGCGCAGATCGCGTGCTCCGATCGATAATCCTGGTTTTGGTGTATTTCTTGTGCTTTTCGATGTTTTTTCGCGCGCCGTTTGCTTTAATTCGTGTGTTTCCTGTTCATACTTATTCTTTTATGGGCGCAATGTGGCTCGGGGGGGGGGGAAGTCGGTGCGCGGCTCAGCGATGTAGTGTAACTCGAACATTCCAGCTTTTCACGGGACATTTCAGCTTCTCACGCATGCTAAGTGACTGCCCTCACCCCCCCCCCCCCCCCCTGAATTGGCTACACTCCCCCTGGCTTGCGAATTTCCTGTTGCCGCAACGCCCCGCGCGGCGGCTGCCCCCCCCCTCCGAGCCACATTGCGCCCTTTTATGTCTTGATTAATACTTTCCAGTTGTTCCGCGGGCGAGCGACGTCGTGAACCCGTCGCACAACTCCGGGTGGATGTGGCCATACCGGGTGTGTTGGTCGTAAGCAATTTTGTTTATTCATATGAAGTGAGTGCAAAAAACATCGAAAGAAATACACCAAAACCAAGATTATCGACCGGGAGCGCCCCATCTGCGCCCAGCGCACGCGTCATGCGCCAGAGCGCGTGTTGACGCTCTTCACACTGTCGGTGCGGTCGGCGCCGTCGGCGCCGTCGGCACCGACCGCACCGATGCGAACTATGAAAGCAGCCTAACCGTCCTCCGGGGGTCTGCTTCTAAGGAATCATCACAGAACAGATTTTTCTCCACAAAAAATGCTTGCTTCAAGAAATTCTTTACGATTAAAAATAATGAACGAAAAAATATGTTTGTTCTAGTAAACAATCCGAAAAGAAAACCGAAGGGAGTATTACTCTTTCGAATTTCCGGCGCGTAGCGTAGTGGCGCTAGCGCTAGTAACTGATTACGGTTTTGCTGACACAACGACCCGCGAGGTGACCAATGTGCAAGTTGCTCGAGACAAGCCTGAGACAGTTGGCTAACCCGAAAGAGTGAAAGGTAAAAATCATAATGGATCAACGCGACACGATGTACACGAATGTACTACATACAGTCCATATCCCGGAGATAGGGTGGGTGGGGCCGAAGACGTGATTGCGGACTACACAAACTTGATAGTTGTCGCAGTGATCAGCTGATTGAATTTCTTGATTTCTACTAGTATTCCGATTTCTCTGCTGTATTTTCTATTCTCTAGCACTATTCTACTTCGCTTTAGAGCAGGTAAGTTCGTTTTAGTGAAAAAGTAAGCTGTTTTGCATGAGATTTGCAAAAGAAAAAAGGGAAAATTAAAAAATTAAAAAAAAAACAAACCTCACGATACTGGCACGGCCATGGAAAATGCGTTGTTCGTAGAATGCAAGCTTCATAGCAGTGTCAAAAAGTGTTCTTGACAATGAAAAGAACACGTTAATGATACTGGTATGAAAACTGCATGCAACGCAAAAATTAAAAATGAAAACGAGGGGTAGGAATTCATCGAATATGCGAAATATCGAAATTTGCAAAAAAATCGTGCAAATCTCATGCAAAACAGCTTACTTTTTCACTAAAACGAACTTACCTGCTCTAAAGCGAAGTAGAATAGTGCTAGAGAATAGAAAATACAGCAGAAAATCGGATATACTAGTAGAAATCAAGAAATTCAATCAGCTATCAGCAAGATTATAAGTTCAGGAACATAGGGTGTATACCGTAACCTTCTCGACGTTGCACTGGGGCGCGCATTCTCACGTGTCATCGATTTTCTCGTCTTCTCTGCACCCTCTCAACGAAGAGAGAATGCGTCGAGCAGACAAGATTATAAGTTAAGGAACATAGGATGTATACCGTAACCCACGTTTGCGTCAGAGCGCGGTTGCAGGCTTTCCAGTGCACAATGCCAGCACTAGTGTGAGAGCGGTCAACGACGCCGCCCCTGCTGTTCGGGGCAGCGAACCCAAAAATGGAGCGACGTCGCAGCGTTCGCCTCGCCGCTTGCGCGACGAAGCCGAACACCGTCGCAGCGTTGGCCTCGCCGCTTGCGCGACGAAGCCGAACACCGTCGCAGCGTCCGGCTCGCCGCCCGCGCGATGGGGCCGAACACCCGCGACGAAGCCAAGCACCGTCGCAGCATTCGCCTCGCCGCTTGCGCGGCGAGGCTGACGCTGCGCGCGCTCCGCGCGCGAGCACAGGGAGGTGATCCCCGGGGTGCCGCCCCATCCGACGTGTGGCGACAACCGCTCGCGTTGTGTCCTCCACCTTCTACATAAACGGCGCATAGTACTCTGCGCGGGCCTGCTCGACGCATTCTCTCTTCGTTGAGAGGGTGCAGAGAAGACGAGAAAATCGATGACACGTGAGAATGCGCGCCCCAGTGCAACGTCGAGAAGGTTACGGTATACACCCTATGTTCCTGAACTTATAATCTTGTCGAGCAGGCCCGCGCAGAGTACTATGCGCCGTTTATGTAGAAGGTGGAGGACACAACGCGAGCGGTTGTCGCCACACGTCGGATGGGGCGGCACCCCGGGGATCACCTCCCTGTGCTCGCGCGCGGAGCGCGCGCAGCGTTCAGCCTCGCCGCGCAAGCGGCGAGGCGAATGCTGCGACGGTGCTTGGCCTTCGTCGCGGGTGTTCGGCCCCATCGCGCGGGCGGCGAGCCGGACGCTGCGACGGTGTTCGGCTTCGTCGCGCAAGCGGCGAGGCCAACGCTGCGACGGTGTTCGGCTTCGTCGCGCAAGCGGCGAGGCGAACGCTGCGACGTCGCTCCATTTTTGGGTTCGCTGCCCCGAACAGCAGGGGCGGCGTCGTTGACCGCTCTCACACTAGTGCTGGCATTGTGCACTGGAAAGCCTGCAACCGCGCTCTGACGCAAACGTGGGTTACGGTATACATCCTATGTTCCTTAACTTATAATCTTGTATAACTTCGTATACTATCAAGTTGTGATCCGCAATCACCTTCTATCGGCCCCACTCACCTAGACTCCGGATATTGACTAAATATACTGTTCTTATCGCGAGCAAATGGAAATCACTCGCTCTTTTGGAGATGGACAAACTCGTCAGTAAGTTTCTCCAAACTCAGAAATTATCATACGGTCAAATTATCATTGGATATTGGTAAAATTAGTTGTAGATTACTTAGCTACTGATAAAGCAGAAGACGAAATCGCCTGGCGGTTCAAACCTAACGGAGGTCCGCAGTAAGCTAACAGAGTCCACTTACTGACTCAACTTAACACTTATAATAGTTACCTGTTTCAGAGAGATCTGCACAACTTATCTTACACCATTTTAAAACGGACTCACCTCGTAAAATATGGTGTATTTCTGCGCCGTCGGTTTGCCTTCAAACACGATGTCGCAAATCTACCTGGCATTCCGAGCTCGAAAGTTGCTTTCAGTGAAGCCAGAAGAAGTTCGTCGATTGCGTACCTCTTGAGATGAGAAAATCACTCCAAATAGTCGTGAATTACAGGGTGGGGCAAAATTACTGGTGCACCTAATTGTCTTGGACTTTCCAATATTCTTATTGTATGTAGACATTCCCGTTCCATCTTCTCGCACTTCATATGTATGTTGCTTGAATGTATTGCTAGTAGTACGCACTGATTACGAAGTAGTTCGGCTGTTCGCTTTGTGAAGCGCAGCCATCAGACTCCAAAGAGCGCTGCTCAGACAGCTTTTGTCGATTTCTCAAATTCCAGCGCGGAGCGGATCCCCGACCTAGTCACTTTCGACAAATGGCTCCCTTTCCTCCCACCTAGTATCAATGTAATTTCATGTACATATGTGCTGTCTTGGAGGGGAGGTTTGCTATCATATACCGGACACCAAACCATCGCTTCTCAATCCTGAGACGAAACTGATGGAAAATACCCGCGCGTCACATGCGATGCCTTGCCAAAGGTCATGTTTAGAAATGATTACTGAAAGATAGTCCCGCAATGCGAACGAAATATTGGTGCACAAGATTTTGCTCTTTCCTGTCCGCATACTGATGATAGCGCTCATTTTGTCAGTTATCTTAGGGTGGGCTTGCTTCATGAGAATTTAAAAACTTCAAAAAGTACTCAGAAATTTTCTTCCTATTTTCTACATGCTTTTCCTAGTCGATAAGTCCCTTGATACCATCAATAGGACGCTGGTGCTTCCAATACTTTCTTTGTGTCAGCGAAGTTAGTTAAGTGGATTTTTGATAATTGAGGTTCTGTGAGGAGGCGCTCGAGGTCAAAGGTCAGGGTCATGGCCAACATGACCCACGTTTAGGCTGTTGGAAAGATGCACTGATCGGATTTGTCACAACAGAACTTACTCAGCAACTTCTTCGAAAAGGAGAAGTTCCAAAATAAACATCTAACTTTTGGGAGTGGACTTATTTCGAAAGTTTTCTTAGACTCACATCATTATTGAACTGATCCATTAAATTTGTGAGGTCAATGGTGTTCACCATCCAATTCACAGCATCTCGCGAAATGGAAGCCTGCGCTAAACCTTGCATAATCTTCAGTGTCGTGTTTAATTGTAGAGGAGTCGCTTTCGTTTCTAAACTAATATGATATGATATCCTATTAGTACGTATAATTAATATAATAACTAATATAATGAATTGTCTTGAGTGTTTCCAGGTTGTTTCATTGTTGGTACGCCCAACGAGCAGAATCCTAGCCAACTCTTTATATTGACACTCTCACACCTACCATCAGGAAAAAGTCCTAACGATCGTATGTCCCATTTTGCCGAATGGTCCCATCGACGTGGGTCGGCATTTGTTACAACGATATCATTTGTACCATCCAATGCTTGAAATATGGAGATCGTCTCGTATACAGATTTAATCACAAGATCGTAGCCCAACGGTAGCCGAACATATTGTGGTGACACGTTTGTGACCCCATAACCGCATCATTAGAGTCCCTTGGGATTTGTGAGCCTTGTAACATTTGACAGCATCGCCTTTTGACATCAGGTCCTACACCTTCAAGAGGCTTTCGGGCACGAGCGAAATATTGTTTTCGGCGACCGTCTAGGGATAGCCTCGAGATCTTCGCCTTGAAATTTTCGATTGAAGTCTTCTTAGCCACTTACAAAAACAGGTGCCGATGGAATAATGGAATCATGCATGATTCATGATATAGATGTTTGTTCATTATTATTTATATTCATGAATATTCCTACACATGATCAGACAAAAGAATAAATGCATTCATCACATGCTTGTCCTAATTATGAAAAGTGGATGCGAACACATTTGATCCGATAAATCTACGAATCCTTCAACGCGCTTTTGTAGTTTCGGACGGTTCGGGTTGCTAGAGACCTCTTCAATTTTTGCGGCATACACAACTCTTTTGCCCCTCCATTGCAAAATGCTGACTGCACATCTATCCTACAACAATTTCTCCTTTTTGGGTTTTTCCTCTTTCAAACTTTCGGCGACCTACCGTCCCTTTGCATTTTCGACCATACTGTTATCTGCTTCATAGAGTTTATGTCCAATGATTATTGAATTATGAGTTGTCGGCATTTTTCATTCCTTTTCTTGCCAAGGTAACGGCGCATTAAACCTAAAGCAACTTGCGCGATGCCGGACAGGTTCGATTTAACTGGTTTCCAGCAACAATGAATTCGAAAGTATATCCTCCCCAACTGCATACTTTTTACAGCTTGATGCCGCATTTACACAAATTTTCCGGAATTTGCTGACGGAATATAACACGGCGCGAAAGGAGGCGGTGTTTTTACGGCAACTGAAGTCTTTTTGAAGTGCTACATGGCTCTGAAAGTTTCTGAAATCTGCTCTGAGAAATTGCTTCTCTCTTGAAATTCCACTGTTTGTATACTACCTCAAATTTGATCTTGGTCCGATCTCTTAGATTGGTTGATGTTGTATAAAGTTCATAGAACATTATACGAAGTTATACGAGAATATCGGCTGCTCTCCTTCTTTCAACACTCATACGTATTAGGTTGTAAGGGAATTTCTTGCCACCTCGAAATTCAAATGTACAAACCCGGCTCAAACGCAGTGTTTTCGTTCGGAGTAAAAACCATTGCAATCAGATCACCATTGCCAACATTACTTGAGTTTGGGAACTCCGTTTGCTGGAAATACTGGTGTTCTAGAGGCGATGAACTCGGCTGACGTCCTTTTACCATCATGTTAGATTTCGCAGCATTTCTCATTTAAGGTGCTATCCAGGTGTTTGAAATATGGCAGAAAATAGGTAAGAGGTCTGGTGAGTGTGACGTTGTACAATAGACAGTTAATTCAGCTTGTCATGTTTTGCAAGGTCGCTTCCGCGGTGATCGGCTGGGTTGCATCGCGAAAAAGAGCCCTTTTCTAGCAGCCGCTGATGAATGCATGTGACAAGTTTCAGGGGTATTTCGACACCTCGTGAAAAATTCTGTCCCACTGTAATATTTCTCTGTGCTCGAAGACTTTGCCCAGCTGTAGACCCGCGTACAGGCACACCTCTTCCCGTTGCGGTTTCACCTCCAAAAGTTTTGTTGACCCTAGTTGTGATCGAATCACCCGAATTCGATGGATCGAGATCAATACTACAATTGTAACATGTACTTCCGCAATCGAAACCGAAAAGTGCGGTCATTTTTATTGGATGAAAGAAGAGTCGGAGAAGGGCCCATGATTCTGCAGATTCGCGATTTTTCGGAGCGCTCCTTTATCGATTTGTCCGGACTTTCAACTTATCCCATGTGACTTGAAGCCACAAATTAGTAATGCTTCGATTGAGTAGCGGCCTTTTTAACGGTTCTAAGCTCACTTGGTCCTATCAAATGTTTCAGCTAATTTTTACCAAGTCGATATCCATCACCCTTCACCCTTCTTCAAGGCTCTTGCCCATCCACACAAGTTTTCAAAAATTATCGCAACTTTTTTTTCTTGTGAAGCGACTTCAATATATATATATATATATTTATTTATTACACGAGCTATGTTCGTGCACATAAAAAAACGGAACAGATAAGTCCAACGAGTTCTGATCTTAAAACATGATGAGGTAGACGAACCAAAACAAGAAATAAGAAGAAAAAAAAGTTGACATGGAACAGCAACAGCAAAGGATAGAGAGGAGAAGTGTATGGTAAGGAACTAGGAACCAAGGATTTCACGGGCTCAAGCAACTATCTAAATAATTTTTGAACATAGTGTGAGATGCTAATGGAGGCGTACGTTTCTTGCACAACTTATGAAACAAGGGAGTCACTCTATGCGTAAAGAAGTGTCGCCTGCAATTTAATCTGGCTCGGCCCACATCAACTTTCGTCCTACCACCTCTTGTAACAGAGGATCTAAGAGACCAAAGTTCATTAGGTGCCATGCTTGTTGCACCCAGCAAAATTTTACGGAACATTAATAAATCATTACGTTTCCGCCTAAACTGCAATGATTGTAGACCAAAGTTCTTATTCCTTGTTTCACTGGAAGGAATTTGATCATACATGAATCCCAAAATCCTTATCATTAGTTTTCTTGTGAAACTGTTCTGGACGGCCTCTAATCTCTTAATTGACTTAATCTTATATGGATTGAACACCGGAGTGCCATATTCGACCACGGGTCTGACAAAGGTTTTGTAAGCGCGCAGTAGTACGGCAGCGCTTTTGGTTGTCAGGGCCCTGAACAAGTTGTACATAACAACAGTTGCCTTTTTCGCAATCGCTTCGCAGTGAGCATCAAAGCTAAGGTCGCTGGTAATAAGGAAACCGAGATCAGATACTTGTTCGACCACAACTAGGGGCACACCATTGATATGGTAGTTGTATCGGTTATTGCTTCCACCGAGATGAATAACTTTAGTTTTCGCCTCAGAGAGGGGTAGGCTCCATTGTTTCGACCACTTCACAACGACCTCCAAAGCACGTTGTAGTTCTTCAGCATCCTTTTCACTGGTAACAGAATAGTAAAGTTTAAGATCATCCGCAAAAGCACAAACACATATTAGTCCTCGAAGTACCAAGAAACGATGCGCGGGTGAATACCCACGAGTCTCATTTTAGATAGTAATTTCTTGTGAGGTACCCTGTCGAAGGCCTTGCAGAAGTCTATATAAATAACGTCAACAGCCTTCCCTTCGTCCAAGTATTTAGTCCAATGATTAAGCGACTGAATCATAGCAGTAACAGTTGATCTTCCTCTATGGAAACCATGCTGTCTGAGCGATATGATGCTGTGTTTCTCTAAATGCTCTAGTACCCGCTTCTTCAAAATCTTCTCGAAAAGTCTTGAAAGTATGGATGTTATGCTAACTGGCCTGAAGTTATCAGGCACATTGTATGGAGGTTTCTTTGGTATAGGCGTTATGAATGACAGCGTCCATCTGTGTGGAACTTGTGCATTCATAAAGCTTAGATTGAATATATACTCGTCCAGAAGGCTCATATCATGAGCTGATTCGTCCTTTTCCTATTTGGTTAGAAGCAGAAACCGTGGGTTCGCTTGTCGAGCATGTTTTATTCAGGACCCCGAAAAAACGTGGGAGCAACAATTCCTGAGCGACTCCAGCAGTCTTCCTTATAGAGCAAAAAACGCGCTTCCAAACGGTATGCAACATGTGGCAGTCAGCCCAAAATGCAGCCAAAATAATGCCTTGGAAATGTGTTGCTGGAAAAGCAATAACTTTCCTTACGACCTAATATTCCATAGCCCCAGATCGAAGTTATCGTCATCTCCGGTTGAACATCCTTTATGGGTATTTCTGTGCTCTATTTTGAAGAGTGATCAAATATCCAAAATATTGACTAATGTTCATAGTTTCCTTAAGAAGTGAAGGTCATTCAAACTTTTCAGCAAGGTTCAGCGTTACGTCATTTGGAAAATATCTGAATTCCAACGCTCATCACATGTCTCAACTTCTTGTCAACGTTCCGGTTGGGGCTATGTCATACTCATGCATGTTTGTTTAATTCTTGTTTGTTCCTGATATTTTGATATCCAAGGTCGATGTTATGCTACGAGCACAGCCTCTGCCTTCGACAGTCATGCATACACTTTGCAGTTTGAGGAGAATGAAATTAATTTTCT